TGGTCAATTTCCATGCTGGGAGCCCGGATCATACCAGGTCAAGACGGTCCTGCTCAGTCTCATCATTTGGCATTCTGATCATTAAAATCAGTTCAAAATCCCAAATGCATAGCAGTTTAACAGTGACGATACATGTAGTTCTTCTCCTTTTGGTTGTCAGCAAACTGAAAGTCTAGTTCAGCAGAGAGAGGTAGGTACTTTGCCGTATGCATGGTACCGTCGTCCATTCTCGTACTTATAAGCGAACACACTGGAGGCAATAGAAGTGGTGTCTGACTGAGTTTCCTCGTAGGCACTGTCATCATCCTAAAGTTCCGGAGTGAGAAACCTTCTACGGGTCATGGATGGGGAAAACCCCTACATCAGCAGGAATCCCTGCAGCGGCGTTGACAAACACCTCCTCAGAAGGCTGCGGTGAGATTGGCGACTGTGAAGTCTCCGCCATGTTCCAAATCAAGGAGAATGAGTATGTTGCAGGATAGGGCTGATAGTATAAGATGAACCGCTTGAAGATGGGTGTTAATGACATGGGAAACGAATTCCAGTTGGGAGATAACACATATTTAACCCTTCAATTGTCGACCACCTCAAACTTACTCCAGTTGGGCTAGTTTACGAGTCCGTGCAATGAGAATGCAGTTTCCAGGTCATACCCTTAACCAGCCATAAAATCATTGCTAACGCATTGAAGTGACAACTAGCACGGGCGAATTTCCTTTCTCGATTACTGGCAGGTGGGCTGGTATGATGGAGGGCCCAGCCTGGGTGAGACAGGATCTCTTGATAGGGCTGTGTTTGGATTGTCAATGGTGATCGGGGGACCTGACGCATGGCTAGTTGACAGAAGGCGGGAGAGAGATGTACGTAGTAGGGGAATTCTCGATAACACACCCTGACAGAAGACTCTGGAAGGAACGTAGGATCATAAACGACATGCAGGCCAGGATTCAGAGCTACCATGTCCACAAGTTCCTGCTCGCAAATTGGCACAAGTGCAAGAGGGTTAACAAGTCACGGACGTTGACTCTGCATCTATCACTACGGCAGACATTGCCAAGACTCTGTAATGAAGGCTTTACCACATAAAGTTAGACTATAAGCAGATGTGGGGGCTTAAAGACATCAGCAGGGGAATTCAAAGTTCAACTCCTAAACTATTGAAAGATGCAGGAGCCAGTATGAATCATTCGATTTGATCGGCATGACGGAATATGGATCCCGACAGGAAGTCGAATGTCAAATCCACTCTTGCTTCCAACTCCTCTGTCAATTGCCAAACGAAGAGCTATGGAGATGGCAAGCCGGCATTAGTCTTGTTGTCCACCGATTCCAAAGGGTCCCTGTCTCGCAAACTTTGCCGCCACAGGGAACATGGCTTCCTTCAGTGTCTCAGAGTGTGTCAGGAGGATATCTAACACAGCAGGGGATTTTGGCATGCCTTCTGCTGCTCTACCGACTGTCAGATCAAGAGGTTGGGAGATGGCAATGGGTGATGATCAGCTATCTATATCCTCGTCTCCAGAGGCTACCTGCTATGAGACCACCGCCACCAGGAAGCAAGAAGTGTCATGAATTCCTGGATGAGTTGCAGAAGGAGCTGAGGTTAATAAAAACATTCTTTGACGATGATCGGTCCTACCTGATCATGGAGTTGGCGGGAAAGGGGGATCCGCGAGTCGCTGCTCTCAGTCCTCCGAGGACGGCGTCATATGAACAGCTGTTCCTCTTTACCCTCAGTGTAAGATACCACGCACGGACCTATCGGGCAGCATTCCTAGATATGGATGGGGATCGGCTGCATGATAGTGGGTCTCGAGCTCATGGCCATAGTGGCGAATATATCGAGAAATATGGTCTCAGTCCTAGCGCTGATCGGGTAGGGTATGCCCTTCGGATTGGCCGCAAGCAGCAGGCAGTTGAAGAGGGCGTCAGCTTGTCAGGGATGTCGCTTGTAATGACACCAATGTCTCGCAAGCTGCATGCTCTCACGTCCCTGGAGATCGACAAAGCAATATGCCTCCTTGCGGTCTTCAATGAATACGAGCAAATCATGGGACTATCTTGCTACTTATCGCCCGACATGGACTCATACCAGGAAATATTTGATTCTGAAGTTGCCAATTGGCTGGCACAGACTCGATATGATTGACTTATGTGCTAATTCACCAAGCTCCTATCATAATCTGGCAAATTGCATCTTGGTTTGACTATCACCGACGAGCCAACCGCATAAAGGGAAGAACATCATCGTCAGAGACATATCCAGGCAGATTAGGGTCGATAACAGGCTTAGTAATTTGATGTTTGTATCCCCGACAGACAAAAGTATCAGAGACATCCCTGTGACTTTCTGGAAACTCGACCCACAGAGTTGAAAATAATACTAGGACCTGTCCCAGCTCCACACTGAGTGGTACCAGTTTTAGACTACCTTCTTGCCGCCGTCGTTCAAATTCAAGGGGGCTCAGCGTGTGAGACCCTTCGTAGGCCCAGAAGAAGCCTCCTTCGGGACTAAGTCCCTTCCGGAACGGTCGAATAAGTAAAATCGCTTCAGCAAACCCATGGCCTCGTGGACCAACCATGTAAGGACGGGACTTGTATTCGTCATTGGTTTTAACGCTGCGGACCACCCGTCCCACCTCGTGTCTAACACTGTCTTTATCAATGCCGAGGAAGGCTTCGCAGAGATATTCTTTCTGCATATGGTAAATAACCGCAAAAGAAAGGAGGGACAACGTCAAAACATACATTGATATTGAGTTCCGTGAAGGCCACAGTTGCGATTGATAATGGCGACTGGAATGCCCCTTCAAAATGACGGGTGGGTTCCTCCCCAGTCTTTGTCTCATTAATCTGACGTCCAACACTGTCCTCGATAGTCTTTTCCGCGCTCTCAATTGCCTTTGCCGTACCCTGAGAAGGCTCGGGTAGTGTCAAAATAACAAATCCTTGATGGTGCATCTCGTCGAGCCGCTCATCGTGCAGAAGATCCAGATGGAAATTCGATTCATCTGCCATGACGCAATGGGGTAGTCTATTTAGCGTATGCAAAATTTGGTGCAGTTTTGGCACCCCAAAACCTCAAAAAATTGCAACTTTTGTATCGGAAGCCCTCCAAACCACCAAAATACTGATTTTTCTCACCAAATCCCATCGATTTTTTACTGAATTTGTCATATCTGAGGTTTTTCTGACTTTCTAATTAGGAAATTATAGCCTATATTCAAACCGATATCGAGATGTCTGCGAATCGCGCTCCTGCCGCCATACCCTACGACCTTCGCAAGAAGCACATTCCTCGCATCCCATCCCCCAGCCCCCGAACCAGGACTCCCGCTG